ATATTTATAAAGTTATATATTAGTCTTTTATGAATAAGTTTAAATTAGAAAAATACTTAGAATAATCAATACTCAAGCTAGATAATTGAAGAGAATTAGATGTCTTCGATTTGTGGAAGAATAATTAAAATCAATTTTCAATTCTTTCAAGAATGGTAGCTGATATTCTTAACATTTTAATCACCATAATAGCTAGTAGATCTTCATTTACCATCGGTTTACATATCTTAACAAAGCGTAAAACTTTTCTTATTTGAAGAAATGTTCACGCTCTTATTTGTACTTATAATTACTGCATAGTTTTATTTTAGATAAGGTAAATGAAGACAAAAACCTTAATATTTTTATCACTGAAGAAGAGCTCACTTGTAGTAAAGAACAATTAAATATTGCTGATCTTGATGATACTGATGAAGATGATGATAAAGATAATAATTATGTTGATATTGTTAATCTTGAACTGCTAGGTTTTATCTTTCTGTTTTTCGTGTTTTGTTAGATTTTGATTTTTTTAAATTTTGGATAATAGTTTATTGGCATTTAATTTTTTTTTCTATACACCACTAATTTATTTTACTTATATTTATAATTTGAATAAAAAATCTTAGAAGTTTTGTTGTTTTATTTTTTATTTTAAAATAATTAAAAAGAATTTAAATTTTAAAAAAATAACATAAAAGGGCCCGCCCTTTTAAGCCCTGAGCCCACATGTCCAAGGGCCGGGTTTTAATAATTAGATAATTTTAAGGTATATGGGCTTTAAAGGGCCGGCCCTTTTAGGCCCTGGCCCTTATTGACAGCTCTACAAATGAAAAAATAAATGGATTTTTATGTTCACAACTAATTCTTGTTGTAGGTACTTTTTAATTATTTTTAAATTTAAAATCTACTTGCTTTAATTTGATAAAAGAAGAGCCAATGAGGTATATAATTTTAAATAAGGAAAAAGTGTATACTTGCTCATTTAACTTTATAAAAAGTTTCAGTTTGGTTTTTTTTAATCCTAAAATTATTAACAAAAAATAATAATATTAATATCTTAAATGTTAGTATATTAAGATTAATTTTCAAAATATGACTGTTAAAAAATTATTATTTAAGACTAAATTTTGGATGAAAATGTTGATGAGAGAATACGTTATACATTTAAAAGAATAATGTCAAAAAAAAAAAAAAGAATTATGGTCAACTATGGATTTCAGGAAAAAAAAATAATAAGTTAAACCTAAACGCGCTTTAATTTGACAAGAAATCTTTGAAAATTTTGACCATTTAAATTCCAATGGTAATTTGTATGGACTTTTTCTAGAAGACAATATGATGTGTTCTTCTTCCACAACCGATCCAACATTTCATATTATCAATTAACTCGGATTCAAATCAATAGGTTGTTTTTTTTTTTTTTAATTCATTGATTCTGTTACGACGCTTTTTTCTTTTCTTTTTTTCCCCCATAAAGTGAAAAAAATCCATTACTTCTTAAAATTTTACCTAATCTCTTATCAAGTCCTGTAATTTTTTCCCTTGTTGTAGAGTACTTAATGTCTTTCCTAGTCTTTTTGTTCATTGTTGATTATGGGTATTATGGATGTTAACTGAGCGACTTATAAGTTGGAACAACATATACTTCCAATTCTTAATATAAAAATTAGTTAGGAGTTGAATTTGGTCCTAGATACTACCTCCAATTTTTAATATAAGATTAAATTAACTAATTTAGGGAGACTTAATTATTTTAAAGTATTTATAATTTATGGTTTTTTTAAAATTAATTTGATTCGCTTATAAATTGATATATAATCTAATAATATACATAATTATTTTAGAGAGATCATATAATATATGTTACAATTAAGTAATTTAGTAATTTTCTTAATCTTACAAAATTAATTGATCAAATCTTATTTTAATGATCAGAAGTAGTTTAAGGTATCAATCCATCTTGTCTTCCAGCTTTTCCCAAAATATTCTATTGATCGTAAAGGGCTCCTATCAGAGGACAATTCCAATCATCCGATGCATATGATTGAACAGAATAGTCTAGGGAGACCAATACACATTTGTAAGAAATAATCAACTTAACTAATTTTTTTTAATATCACCAAATTAGTTATTTTACTCTTATATTAATGACCAAGGTAGTACAAAATAATTTCTTTAGAAAAAAATAAAATGATGAAATAAGATCTATTTGTTATCAATATAAAAAAAATTACTTTTCTCTCACCATCTCTCTTTTTTTCCCCCCTATTAATAGTAAACCATATTGATTTTGTTTTTATTTTGATTCACATGGCAAAATTAATTCATGTTATTTCTTTAATAAATTAATAAATTATAAGTATAGGAAACATTTAACAAGGATTCATGAAAATAAAAAATTAGAAAAATTATAAATGTTGTCACATAATAGGGTTATATATATTTATATGTTTTTCCTAAAATAAATATAGTTCGGTCCAAAAACAATTAAATATTAAATTGAAAATATGGAAGATATTTTTTTTAAAAAAAAAATGCTATTTAAGATTACTAATGAAAAGGTTGAAAAATATATTATTAAAAATGCTAAAGACCAGTACTAAAAATATGCAAGATGGGTATTGAAAATATGAAGGAAAAAAAGGTTACAAAAGAAAAAAGTTAACTCAAAAAATACTTTAGGTAAAATTGACCCAAAAAAATTATTATAAACTTTACTTAACAGATTTTTTAAAGGATTAACGGTAAAAATTACATTGAAAAATTCTTTAAAAGCAAAATTATGCGTAAAAAAATACTTTAAAAATAAAATTGCATCACAGATTACCTTTCCACCTTAAATCTAATTGCATCGCAAATTACTTTTCCACTTTAAATCTAAATTTTACAAAAGAAGTAATTTCATATGATAAATTTGAGTTAAGACCAAGGCCATCAAATGCTATAAGATGGATGAAGGAATCTGAAAGCTGTCAAGCGCGGCGTGCAAATCGAAGGGATAAACAATGTAACGAGTGCAACATGAGAACAATAAATTAATGGGCGAATAAAACGTTATCATTAACGTTCACTTATTATATATTATTCCATTCATTTTTTTATGAAATTATCTTTTCAATTTTTTCGTCCATGAGAAAAATATCCATTTAATTTGATTTTTATAAATAAAATTTGGTGAACAACGTGCATTACATGAAATTTGAAGAAGAATCAAAATATTTATAATTTGTATACGAAAATAGCTTGCTAACAAGGAACAAATGATCCGACGGAAAAAATTTATGAAGGAAAATTGTAAATTACCAATGAAGAACCTTCACCGACTAAATATGGAAATTAAATAACTAATATAGTAAAAAAAAATTAGTTAAGCTAATATTTTTGTGATAAATATGTGTTAGTTTTATCAAAATATCTCACTTTAATCGTTATTTTCGTAGCTGTCTTAAAAGAAAGTGAATAGAAGTCCCACATTTAGGTTGACCAAAAAAAACAAGTCTTACGTTTAGAGTTAAATCAGAATCCCTGGCCAAAAAAGAAAGAAAAGAAAGAAAGAAAGAAAACTTGACTATGCCTTATATAGTTATATTTATATAGAGGTACTGAAAACTAAACTAGTATTAAGACAGTAATTGAAAGATCTATAATTCAAATAATATAATTAAAACTTATAAAAATATTCATATATAACACGAAAAAATAATATTTAAATAAGCAAACATGAATTCACAGGCAAAAACAACGTCCATTTATAAAAACACACATAACAAAACAAGTTAATATAACACAAATCTAAACAAATGCTATTTTTTCAATACTTAAAATAACATCATTGTTTCAGGCCTAATAAAGAAAGTGAAAAAAATATAAAATTCAAGGCAATCAATTTATCCAAAATTTATAATCGGATGGGTCAAAAGACTCATTTGCGAGTTCACCTTAATTTTTTTTTGATATACATGACATTTTTTCATTGAAGAGAATCTTATTAAATATTCCTCTAGTTTTTAATATATGATTTAATTGTGAAGTTGATTTTGTTTCTAAATATAAGACTTGTTTTTTATATCTATCAATTTTTTCAAATCACCCCTATTAATACTCGTTCAAACCATAATCAAGTATGAGAGGAAGGAAGGATATAATAAGATGATTAAGGTATCATAGGAAAAATATGTCATTTATTATAATTAACTTAACTTACATAACTTTCTTAATTTAATCAAATTAATTAAATAGGTTTTATATTAAGAACTAAAAAGTACTAAACATGAGTATTTATCCCAACAGAAATTAAACATTAATTTGTCACGAGAGATTAATTTTTTTTTATTAGAATCATCAAGTTGGCAGCTTAAATTCATTTTAATGCTATAATTATTTTAGAAACCAAGATGGTAATCCAAACACACAATTCTCTTACGCCAATGACGATATTTATTACGCATGTGGACCGACGATCTATTGTTTGGTTCCTTCGTAGGTACAAAACCGCGGGCCGGCTCGCAGATTCCGCACATGAGGGGCGACCCCCGTGTGCTATATATATGAATAAGCCTTCTTATCCGGTCCCGTACTTTCTCTCTCACTTCTCTCTATAATTCTATTATCCATATTCCTCACATTCCTATAACCTTCACCTTCTTCTTCAGTTCACACCTACTCTCTCCTTCTCTCCCTGTTGAATGGCCAGATCCGTTGCTCGCACCCTAACCCTATCTACCAAATCCATGTCTCCTCTCTCTCGTCTCCTTCCTCACCGGAACCAATCCAACCAGCCCTCCTCCTCTGATGTCGTCGACGTCGATGCTGCTTCTTGCAACACCGATCCTCTAATTCGCAAGCTTGAGGACGCAATCCAGTGCATCATCGTTCGCCGATCCGCCCCTGACTGGCTCCCCTTTTATCCCGGCGCTTCTTACTGGGTCCCTCCACCTTCCACGCCTTCCAATGGTCTCGCCAATTTGCTCCATAACCTTACCGATCCCCCCGCTCAGCAGGATTCTCCGCCCCTCACCTCCCTGGAGCCTGGCCTTCTCCTTCGTATTTCATCCAGGGTATGTTCTTTTTGCCCGCTAAATGATGTGATCCAGAATTGTGTGAATAGGGTGAAATTGAATTAAGAAGCTAGCGATGGATAACCAGGAATCAAGCAAGACTATAATTGAAAAGATGTTGGTGCTAATTCGTAATTTGGCACATTCAATTGTCCGATGCTAAACTGTAGAGGCCTTCGTCGTCTTGGATGTTACTCTTGCCTGATAATATGTCGGTTTAGTTGCTGATGCTAGGCATTTGTTGAAGATGGTTATTAAGGGATTAATTGGATTGGTGCTTTGTCACTTACCTGTCTTTTATTATGTGGTTTAGGTTCTTCTCCACACCCGACGGAGATTGAGGCAACATCTAATTGTAATGCTTGCTCCGAGGATGAGGAAGGATGAGGATTTTTACTTGTTCACAAATTGCATCTGAGGTAAGATATACGTGCGGTTTTCATTTCTCATGCCAATAGCTCTACTTGAGAAATATGTGTTTTAAACGTGAAGTATAACTTCTTAGGGTATGTTTGGATTGGCGTTGGGCAAAATTGACTTCTAGCTCAACTGACTTTTGTAACTGAAGTTAGAGTAAAAGTCAGTTAGAGTTAGAGTATGTTTGGATAGGTGCTTTTGAAAAGTCAGTTGAAAAAGCTGAAAGTTGTTTGGATGATGAATGAAAAAGTTAGTTTAGTTGTAAAATGACTAAAAAGGGCATGAACTTTATTAAATAGTAGTTTTTAATTTTTTATGTTTTTAATGTGATAATAGGTTAAAAAACATATAAAATTATTATGATAAAATATAAATAGTTTAATTGTGAAATTATGAAATAAAAATATTTGTTATGAAGAAAAAGTTAAAAACACATTGTAGATAATTAATTAAATATACATAATAGACAAACATGAATATAAATTAAAATTTATTTGGTCTAAATAAAAATTTATTATGCTAACGAAGGAGATGAGGCAGAGAGAAAAATGTGAGGGTAAATCTGGGATGTTCATTTTTAGTAATCACCGTTTGAAACTACAGTTTGAAAAGTTAGATTTCTCCGTTGAGTCTAACTGAGGTTGAAAGCTAGAAGTTGGTTGGAAAAGTTAGCCCAGCCAAACAACAGTTTTGGTCCAACTCAGTTTGCAACCTCAGTTTCACAGATTCCAAGGCACAACTACAGTTTGGAACTGCAATCCAAACATACCCTTAGACGTTAGGTACAAAAAATGTCATGTGAAGATTTTTTTTTTGAAAAAAAAAAAAAAACTGAAAATCGCCGCCTTGTGATCGAATGTTCAATATTTTTTATCAGAAACTTGGCATCTAATTCCAAGAATTTTCCTTTTGTCGATCTCCATTTTGCCATAACTAATTTTCTGGGTTACTCTTCTTTTTGAAAATAATGGGGCATCGATTTTGCGGGATCTGCTTTGCAGCTTGCTGCTGTGTATCAGAATAGAAATAGTTTCATTTGACAACTTTGAACAATGCCAGGTCTACAAAGGCATGTTCGTGGCTTTTCTATGAGAAAAGAAATTAGCAACCTGACTGTAAAATAATTATGAAGTGAACAGAAACAAATTATGTCAATGTTAGGCATGTCTGGTATTTATGTCATCATATGGTTTTAGACTTCTAAATCCTCTTGATTAAACAATAGATGAACTGTGCTGATGAAGATGTAATAATGTAAGAAACTAATGTAGTTCTAGCTGGACTTCCATGTGGACTTTTTTGCACCTGGAGAGAATTTGGTTCCTGGGTTGTGTTGCTGGAGCATAAGTCAGAGTTTGTTTTTATATTATATAGAAATTTGAGGCATCTTTTAATGATATAGATTGTCTAATGTCTTTTGCAGGCTCATTCAGGCATGGAAGTTCTTTATGATGCCTGAGAGTATCACATTTCTCTCGGCAGGAGCTGTAAAAGATCCAACCTTGAGATGTTTTAGATTTTGGTTGCTAAGGGTCAAGGGAATTCGCAGTGGGATTCCATTTATGTAAATGTCGTCTGTAGAGATGTTTACTTGAAATGCTAGTTTGCAATTGTATACCTCCGGTCCTAATTATAAGACCCAGTGACATTTGAGGAGATTAAGGAAGTAAGTTAAGTAAGTTATTTGTAATAAATAAGTGTTGTCATTCCTAAAATATCCTTGCTAATTAAGTATATTGGCTAGAACTATCATTATTAGAAGGATTATCTTGGAAAAAATACATTAAATATGAGAGACAAAATGGATTGGGGTTCAATTAGGACCAAAAAAAAGTCAAACAGGGTCTTATAATAAGGACCGGAGGTAGTATATTATAATGTGGTCTCGGATCCAATCTGTGGATCCCAGTAAACGAGACTTTTCAATTTGTACCGGAAAATCCACAATCCGGTTAACGACATTTGATTTTTTTATTTTAGTAATTATTATAATCATATTATTATATTTTTGCTTCTATTTAAAAAATTAAAAAATACTTATATTATTTATTGGTGTTTTCAATCAAGTATTTAAAAAAAAAAACAAAATTTTATATATTTTATTTAATTGTATGAGAAAAATATTTAAAAATAACATTTTTTTAAAAAAATAATAGTTAGAAGTTAACCCACTATGACGGATTAGGTTTGATTGAAAATTGTTCTCATTACATGAGGTTTTTTTAACCCGCATTGTGTAATTCTAATTTGCGAGTTCAAAACTTGTTTGTATTACATCTCTATTTATGTGTCACACCATTAAATTTTTTTACATAAAATATAATGTATCATTTATTTATATCTCCATTCTTATTTTCAACTGTCAATTTGTTTGCTTAATATTTAAATTTATATTCAACTAATTTTAATTATTTTTTTATTATACGTAAATCTCTTGTTTGAAACATACAATAGGGCAAGAGGTGGGTATTGTGTGAATTTTAGATTGTAGGGATAAAGTACTCCCTCCTATTTAAAATATTAGCTTCAAATCTTAGAAGAGCTCTATTTTTTTATCATATTTTCTATTTTTAGCTCTAATTACTTATGTATATATATCTTTATCTATTTTCTCCACTCACCTGGGGTGTTTTTAGGAAAATAAATTTTTTACTTATTTACTATATTAATTAATTTTAACTAACCTTTTGAGTTACGTAATTTATTTATTTCAAACTTAACTTATAACCATAACGAGTAACTTATAATTTTAAAACAGAGTTGATGAGTGTTTATGTTTTTCTCCAGTTAAACATGTATAGGACAAGGAGTATATAACAATTATGAATTAATTCAATGTACACTTTATCCTGACAGTGGTACAAAGTCAGCATAATAATGCACATTAATATATTAAAGGTAAGTAAAAAAATTAATGATAGGATTCATAAATAAGACCCAAAAAAATTCTTTTTACCTTATAAATGAGACTGGAAGGGTATGATAATTTTTAGGAAACGACAATGTTTAATTTTTTTTTTAATTATGAAGGTGTTTAAAATAGTTGGCAAAAAAAATGTATGTTTGAAAAAAAAAAAAAAGAAGTTAGCAGGAAAAAATAAAAGAGAGAGAAGGAGGGATGAAGAAACAGGACTCCCGCATTGGGGGGGGGGGATTTTGAGTGTTGCAATGAAGCACAACGGCATGGTTTTTCCCCCCTTAAAGTATAGATATAAAGTAATCATATTTGAAATACTGTCCAGCAATAAATGTGAGTACCTTTTCCAACGAGGATTTGAATCTTGTTCACTATATTGTGAGAAACTAGCTCCTTCTGCTAGACCCAATCCCACAACAACGTAGTTTTGAAACTGAATATCCTGTTCATCTAATACGGAATCATCATCTCTATGTCCATTCCTATTTTGCTATTTAGTTAATTCCTTTTTTTGTTTTTATGCAAATGTGGAATTGAGAAGGTTCATTCATATACTGAAAATGACTCCTATATTGACTATTAGAAACACAAATAAAAATGAAGAAATCAATAATTTCGCTTTAAATTTAATTCTCCTACATTTAGTAACATTGAGGTTTACCGTTTACATGAAATGTCATGAATAAGAATTTTCCTTAGTTAATAAATTTTTAGAAATTCTTAATTATAATTGAAAGAAAAGAGCTTACTTAGGTTGTTACTGTTATTAATTGCAGCCGAGACTTCGCTCATTCTTTTATGATGGTATTAATAAAATAATATCAATATGAACATGTATGCCAGAATTCTATCCATAGTGATAAAAAGAGCTTGACATGAAGGACACACGAACTATGTACTTCTAGGTATAATTTATTTGTGTTTCTTGTTAGTTAGTAATTAATTATATGTTTTTTTTTAAAAAAAAGTTTAGTTGATATACATAGGAGTTGGCAAGAAGGAAGATATAAATATTTGCATATCAGGAAAAAGTTACGTTGCTCATTTTTGTCTTTGATTCAGATTTCCCATTTGTTGCTTTTTGAACTCTATCATTCATCGGGGTTGAAGTGAATGATTTTTTGATTTATTATTTTCTATAGATAATTCTGGTCTTGGTTTTTAATGGTTTCAGCGAGGATTGTGACGGTGGGGAGGTGGCTTTACAATGCTATAAATGAACGGGCAAATAGCTTTGTCAG